ACCATAATAAATCGCATAACAAAAAAAAAAAACAAAAAAAAACGGGGTATTTTGTTGACGCGCGCTGATGTGTCTAAAAATTCATATTACAGAGCGTATTACATACGCCTTTTTTAGGCGCCTGATTTTTTTCGTGCCTAAACATCCGGGCTCTAGTTATAAACGACCCTTTATCATAGATAATATATATAGTTGATAAATATAAAGTGCTATCGTTTGTATATGTTTAATTTTTGCGGACCCAAATGCGCATAATGCGTGGTGTGTTCTCTACAGCGAGCGGTTTTACATTTGTAAACACTAAAGAATAGGATAGAACAACTTAATCAATCGCCTGAATTTACCGGGCCATGGCCGACAAGTTAAGGGGGACTTTTTTTACTGGTTTTTAATTTGCACCGAACCCAGGGGCGGACGCAGGTATTTATTGAAGGGGGTGGGGGAGGAGGGGGGTCAGGTGTTGGTCAGCGTATCATATGTTTAAGACCCCCCCCCCCCCTTTCCCGTTCCCACCCTCTAAATTTTACACATGCGGAATTCAAGAGGGGGGTCTGGACATCCGGACCCCCCTCTGAATCCGCCCCTGACCAAACCTGAGCGCACTGAATGTAGTAACTTAATGAAACTTTTCTCTTCTCGAATTTCGCTTTATATAAAAAGTTATCGGCAAATTAAAATTAGAAAAAGAAGCAAAAAAAATAAATAACCCCCGTTATGACGTTCTTGGTCGCTTGAGTGGCCGTGAGCTAGAGGAGGGGTAGAGAGCTCAGCGAGCGCTCACGGCTGCCCTAGTCCGTGTCGACGGCTCGAGAGGGCGCCACTAAAGCATATTCTGGATAGGCTGTAGAAGCGGGCAGCCAGGGCGGCTCGCATTGCATTTGCTGAGCGATTAAACACTAATTCAGCATGACACTTCACTGATCACAAACGACAGAAAACACGGGGTAAAGATCAGTTCAGAATGAGAGTCACTTCGTGCTGCCATACCACCAAACTGCAAGCCAAACCTTGTCGCCGAAGGCCTTCGGAACGCTCGGAACCGGTCAGATCCTTGAGCCCATATACGACCGCAGCGCCGCCGCGTACATCCAGGACCTTCCTACGCTCGCAGCTCGTCGGTGCCTGGTCCCACTACACCTTTCTATAGTCTGTTACAGGTTAATAAGGTAGCGGCAAATGCCCCTCAAAGGGAATCATATATCCCTCCGCCACCAGCGTATCCAATACGCCTCGCAAGCGGGCTCATTTTCGTCTTCTGCGCATGAGAAAGGAAGTAGCGGTGACGTCAGAATGCCGAGCCCTGATTGGCTGATCGCGACCCCCTATCTGAGCGTCGTCTGCTCCTTTGCAACGTTGTCTGCTTGCAACGTCGTCTGCGTCTGTCTTACCTTTCCTGCGACTTTCGGAAGTCGAGCGAGCTCGACTTCGCCTTTCAGAGAGGGCAGACGAAATAACTCGAGCGGTACGTTGTTTTTGTCTAACAACTAGCAGACGCGCATCAAGGAGGGAAGTCAAAGGACTCACTGGCGAGGTCCCGAGGCGCCGAGGTTTGTTTGCTAAGAACCGAGAGGTGAGCGTGTTAGTGTCCGCAAGTTCCCTCCCAAATACTTTTTCCCTCCTTTCGTGTGCGGCGAGACACCTCATTCTTTAACGGCGTCGGCGGGTTGGCGCAGTTAACGTCGTCTGCTTTACGTAGCCATGGCTGCTTTACCTTTCCTGCGTCGGTCGGAGATTCACCGCTTTTTCACCGGCGAGAGTCACCGTTGCCTCGGGAAACAAGGAGATAACAAGAGGAAGAAATTGACCTCTTAATATAAAATTGAGGTCAGCGATCAAGGTATAATACGGGAAGGGTTCACAAGGGTCGCGCGGGCATATTCCATTCAGCACGTATGCCGGTCGTGGGCCGGTCGTGGGTCGCCGAGTCGCGGAGTGCCTGCTAGGCCTAACTGCCGTACTCCCTTGGTCGCGTTCGGTGGAATCGTGGCCGTTGGAGCTTTTCCTGAGTGTTTCTGTATCCAGCGTTCTTGTTCGTCGTGGTCTGTTTCAAGTACTTTTTACTTTTTTCTTGCTGCTTGAAGTCGGGACACGTGAGAAGCGCACGTAGAAAAATAAACGTCCGTGGGCCGTCGCGACCGCGACGCTGTCGGCCATGCTGATTTGATCGTAAGAAGTGCGCAAGACAGCTTCGGAGCTGTCGTAGTATTTCGTCGTAACCTGCGCAAAACTTACGAAAATTTCGTTTCGTGAATACGACTTTGTTCTTAAGTTTTGTCTTACGCACATTTTTGGCGTAAGATCGTTCCGTGGCCTCTGCACTTCCGAAAGTCGCAGGAAAGGTAAGACAGACGCAGACGACGTTGCGAGCAGACGACGTTGCAAAGGAGCAGACGACGCTCAGATAGGGGGTCGCGATCAGCCAATCAGGGCTCGGCGTTCTGACGTCACCGCTACCCCCTGCGCAAGGAGCAGACGAACTTGCCCTCCGCATAGCGTCCCATCGTCTCCGTGACGTCGCGGCCAACGCGCGAGGAGGGTCTTGCCTTTTGCACATATTTGCTTTATCTTTCGACTTTGACTTAGCACTGTGGATGCCAAGAGAAGGAGATTAGTTTTACCCTTCCGATGGAAACAAATACGACTTTCGGGGATTAGCTTCCCCCTCCGATGAATACAAAGGATGCTTTCAGGGGCTCGGTTCCCCTTCCAATGAATGCAAAGGCTATGGTTTCACTGGTCGTTTTGGATTAGCTCCCGCTCCAGATCTCGATCTGGATCCGATGGCGAATTCCACTGAGTGTTTTGGAGCGCGCCGGCATCAGTTGACCAGATCCGGAATGGAGCTCACAATCCGAACGGGGTTTGCGCCGGCGATGGATCCCCCGTGGAACATGACCACTGCTCTGGGATCGGCATTTGCCTTCATGTCATTCAACTGCCGGGGAATCCCCTTTCCGCGGCCGCCGCGGTCGTTTCGAAGACGTTTTCGCAATCGCGGCGCTAACACGTGTTCGACGCACGAGCGGCAGGAATGGCTCAGGAGCTTCTAGCAAAGATTGCCGGAATGCCCGTAGCGCGGCCAAAACCTTCTCTTCTCCTTCCTGGAAAACGAACAGGCTGTCGAGACAAGGGGTAAAGGTTTAGTAAGGTACGTTGTTGGGCTAGTTGGTTCATCTTAGTAAAACATATAAAATAGCGCAACAGAAACAAGGACAAGGTCCTGTTTGCTTCTTGTCCTTGTTTCTGTTGCGCTATTTTATATGTTTTACTAAGGGGTAAAGGCCCTGTCACACTGAGGGGACAGTTGGACAACTCTATCCGGCATTATTAGTATCGTGTTGCCGGCGACCCTGTCACATCGCGGCAACAACAACAGTCGGGCAACATGTTGCTGCCGCCCGGCAACAGTGTTGCCCGATTTGTTGTCCGACAACCCTGTCACACCGCGCTGACTGCGGGAGCAACACGCGGAGCACTCCGCCATCTTGATTGTTTACCTTCGCTCGCGTGCGGCGCGGCGTCGCTGGAAATGTGACTCTACAAAGTGGTAGTGCGTTCGAAGGGCCGGGAATTACCACGGTACGACATCAACCAGTGGCTGTAATTAGAAAACTTGACTCGGGGAGTATTTTCCGCTCTTTATTTTATCGAGATGTTCTTCATTCGCTCACAAAGCAGATAGCCCTAACCGAGGAAAGTGACATCGCTGATATATGTTCGGCATTTGCGCCACCGTATATAGTGTTTCTGTCCGGTTCTTTCATGCAATTCCTATTTCTACTGTGAAATTGCGTTAGCACCGGCAGTGCCCCAAACCGTCTTTTGTAACGTGGTGTTGAGCTGAACTGACAGTGCTTCAAAACTGCGACACCGACACCATCGGCCTTCGTAACAGTCGGTGAAATAAATATTTTCAACGCTGTCTACTTGTCTACCGCCTGCTATGTGATCGATTCATTGCCCCAAAACGTCCTGGGTATTTTTGAAACAAATCAGGTGTCTGGTAGCGGCTGGTTCCAAGTTCCAAGCATCAACGTTTTCGCAATCGCGGCGCTAACACGTGTTCGACGCACGAGCGGCAGGAATGGCTCAGGAAAGTCTAGCAAAGATTGCCGGAATGCCCGTAGCGCGGCAAAACCTTGTTTTCTTCTCCTTCCTGGAAAACGAACCGGCTGTCGAGCCAAGGGGTAAGCAAGTGGCCATTACCACTTCTTCTGGGGCGAGATCAGGCGAGATGCCCCCGAGAAAGGAAGTCACGTATGTGCGCCGAGGGCTGACCCGGCTGGCTTCCGGTTGAATCCGCCAAAATCGGGGGAGCGACTTTTCTCGGATCCAGATCGAGATCAGAGGCCAGATTCATAAAAAAACCTCTTACCTACGACATCTTAGCTACGATGTTCGTAAAGTTACGATCATCGTAAGATGAGGCAGGAACGGTATTCACAAACGCGTTCTTAAGTGAGAGGAGGAAAGTTACGACCGGTTTACGACTTCTTACGGAAAAACAACGACTTCCGGTGTCTCGCCTTTTCCCAAATAGCGCGAGAGCTTGTTGTCGCTATGGCGACGGCGTCTTCGGCGACTCCAACAACCAATGAGCGTAGTTTCAAACACGTGCGCGTGTTTACAACGCCTAGAACAACACACGTGCGCGTGAATATGTCGGAACCGGAGTGCAAGAAAGTGCGAATGCCAAATTTCTCGGAAGCGGAGATTACCGCTTTGGTCGACGGTTACGAAGACCACAAGCTAGCTATTCAGGCAAAAACAAGTGGCCCGCACGGCTCGTTACCGCGTCGCTGTTCGCGGTCTCCGGAGTCCGGAGGAGCGTCAACGAAGTAAAAAAAAAGTGGACGGATTACAAGAGTGCAAATAAAATCCGCGGTAAGGCTTGGTAGATTCTCTACTCGGTTAAACAATTTGAGTGTAGACCTACACGTGATTTACCACCTTGTTGCAATGTATAGGCGCTGCAGTCCGGCGCAGCCAAAATGCGACAGGTGGTGGCCCGGGAGAGCCGGAGCTAACGGACGCCGAGGAGCGGGTGATCGGCCTGCTCAGCGAAGCCTCCCTAGTAGGAATCGAAGGGGCCTTCGACATCGGAGCACGGCAGTTGGGTAAGTGCTAAATGTTCACCAATGCGCAAGGTGCCTCTCTCCCCTCCCTCCCCCCCCCCCCCCCCCCCCCCCCAGCACATACTGGGAGGCTGGTTGATGATGTCGAACGTGTATTGCTAGCACTAGAAACATGAAAGGCTGATTGAAAAACTGAGCGATTCTTCCTTTTCAATTTTCTAGAGCGTCACGAACGGACCCAAGTAGCTGCCGATCGCGATTCGGAGATCTCCCCCGATTGTAAGTTCACGATATCTCAACGTTCTTATAAAATTGTGAAAATATTACATTGTATTTTCAGTTTTCGTCATAGATCCGGGCGCTGGATCCAGCACTGCACCACAACGAAGTTGGTCGGTGCACTCAAGGTCAGTTTTTATCTTTATCAACGAGTTAAAGTGCTACATATACAGCTGCAGTTAAATTACAAGTGCTTTCTTTTTCTCTGTCCCAGTCCTAGTACCTCGGATGGCATGCTGTGCAACCAGAGTGAGTATTATGAACAACGCTATGGGTATTCTTGTACAAGTGTTTACATTCGGCATCTGAAATATTTAGTAACATGTTTCACGTCTTGCCCATGTATAGAAAATGAAAACATTTGGTCAAAGTTGTCACTCAACTGTCGAACCCTGTTCCAGTTATCCAAAGCCCGAGTTTGCAGCGAACAAGTTTGGGTTTAGCCGCACCACTGCGACTACACAGCAATTAAATATCCGACAAGCAGCACGACATGCCAGGAAACCTTAGATTGCTGGTGCACACAGTGCACACCGTTACTTGGGTCAGGGATTCCGTAAGGAGGATCGGTGGCCTGGTGTGTTAGTGTTCCGCAGCTCCAAGCACGCATTCAAAATCCAGGGATCCTGTTTTCATTCCATATTTGTGCCAGCTTCAATCTGGATTAAGATCGTATCGGCGTGCTGTCGGATGCACGATACATGTAAACTTTAGGCTAGCAGTCATACTGCACTGGCCGAATTCCTCATCTCTAGCATAACCAGCAGAATTGTACACCAGACTGACCTCATACATTAACATCTGTTTTGCTTCTGATCCCACCCAACTTCATGCACACACATTGTACGATGATTACGTTGTTTTGTTGGCCGTGTCGGCACAGTAGTCTGTAAGCATGAAGCGCCACATATTTTATTCATTAGGTGGAGGTGCAGTTGCAGAAGCCGTGACTTCACAATTCCCTCAGTAGCACGGCCTGCATTAGCGCGGCCTGCGTCGGCCCGGCCTGCAACACCGGGGCCTGCAACACCACGGCCTGCATCGGCACGGCCTGCATCAGCACGGCCTGCATCAGCACAGCCTGCATCTGCACGGCCTGCAGCAATAAGGGCAGCAGCAGCAAGGGCTGCTGTTGAGGTAGCTGCCAGCACACCCCCAACAGATCGACGGAGTGAGTATACTTAAAACACATATTTAACATGATTATACATTCTTGCATTGTTGTTGTTAGATTAACGTTTTTGCTGTGCGTCACTTTTTGAGGAGCTTCTGAACGTCCAACACTTCCGCTTGAACCTGTGACATCACTGGAAGACCTCTAAACTACACAGACGACATTCAAAAGCTCTCCGACATGGTTGCTAGCACCTGTATTTTTCAATGTCTAAAGTGTGAATGACAATGGTTATGTCACACATCCATGCAACATGTAGCAGTACAAACTATGATTGCAGCAAAGAAAACTGGATGATTATTTGTGCTCCATGCTTTCAATCCTGAACAGGACCACACTTCAAAGCTGACAAATTTATTTTCAGAAATACTTCAAAACACAAAGCTAGAGGGGATATTTATGTACAGGCACTTTTCACGACACATGACAAAAAACATTTAAATAAAAATTAAAGTTCATCATTTTGAGCTAGTATTTTGAGGATCTCTGGCACATGTGTGTATACATATCCCATAGCCGATTTAAAAAATAACAAATCATTACTCCGCCAATTCAGGCGACAACAAAGATGTGGGACATGAGATCCTGCAGACGCAGGCGGCGATCCTGGAGCGGCTCGATGCACTGGTTGCAGCGCAGCAGGGCATACTAGCGGCGCAGCAGGGCATGCTAGCGGCGCAGCAACAGTTAGTGGCCCTAAAGGCACAGAAATATGGAGTGCAATTTGTTAACGCTCCTGTTCTTCCTGAATAAACCTATGTATTTTGCCCCGTTTCAACATCTGTTGACCAACAAATAAAGGTACTGGCCAAGTGAGTGTCCGAGCAAAGCATGTGACAACACTTCATTGCAGTAAACTCTATTGGAGCACTCTCACATGCTTGTCTCCAGCACCTTTACTTGCTCCTTGTGGAAGAGGACACTTTTAAATAAAAGCGTGGCGAACAACTGCACTTCTTGCAGCCGCACCCGCCACCATGGGTCGTGCCCTCCTAGTTGTTGGTGCTGGTGTGGGTGTCTCCTCCTCCTCCTCCTCCTCCTCCTCCTCCTCCTCATCATCATCAGACAGGTCAACTGTATACATAAGAGAATATTCATTAGAGCGCTTTCCCACTCATAAAAATTTAAGGCAGAACTGCTACCTGCTAGCCTGTACAGAACTTGTGAGCTAAAGGTGGTTAGCCAGAAACAAATGTCTTCTAATTATTCTCCTGAGCCAGCTCTGAAAGATAGCTTGCTTACTGCAAAAAACGTTTTCATTGCACAAAAAAAAATAGGTCCGGTGATACAAATTATTTCATTGATTTACGCTAATTGTTCACATGTAAGGTAGATTTTCGGAGAGCTATGAGTGTCAAGTGAACAGATGCGGTCCAATATATAAAAGATTGTGCAAAAACGCCCACCAAAAAGCAGCCTTGTAATAGCCTACTTCTATATATCCCTGCATGTGAAACTGCGTTCTGGCAGCGAGTTGGCCATGGAATGAGGTGGCAGGGCTTCAGTTTCGATCTACGAGCCCTCAAAGTTATTGCGACAGCATGTGTAAAATGTGGCAGTGCATTTGGTCGCGACGTGATGACGGAACTGAGGTTGAGCAACTGAAAACCAAAATGCGCTGCGTAATGCCTTTCCATTAGGGGCACTTCCACTCTGGAAAAGGTCTATTATGTTACCTAGTGGTTCATTGAGAGACACGTGGTGGCGCATACAGTAATTGTGAAGAACCGCACAGGCCACAATGATCTTGCAGCAGATTTTGGGTCTGTATTGTAGGAAGCCTCCAGACTTGTCCAGGCACCTGAAGCGGGATTTCAGGAGCCCGAACGTCCGCTCGATGACTTGTCTGGTCTTCGTCAGGGCCTCATTGTAGTCCAACTCTGGTTGGTCCTTGGGTGCTCGAATCGGGGTCATGAGCCACGGCTGGACAGAGTACCCAGCGTCCCCTGCATTATCCAAGACGGGCTCAGATGGTCATTTCATGTTGCTTCACTTAAGCGAGACAAGCTCCCGACAGTTCATCTTTTAAAAACCCGAGACTCAGGATACGCTGAAACTACAAGGCAACTATCCCATCGCCGAGACTATGTATAAAGGTCACTTCATACAGTTGTGCTGACTGTGAGCACAACCAAATACGTACCACATTGTGGGGAAAGCAGGGAAGTGCGAGACCTTGTTTTTTCTGTTGTTGGCGCAGAGGAAAGACGGCAACAATATTAACACATGTTCACGAAAGAGCCGCTTAACTCGTTGGACGTTCACTCCCTAGTAGCACCGAATGTTGCCACAATGTTACTGGAATGTGGTCCGCCAACGTTGTGTATACGTGGCTAATGTCCGCAAAATGTCATGTCGCTGGAACGTTATCTGAAAACATTCCCGTAACATCACAGTAAACATTTGTGCTATGTTATGCCCTCAACATTTGTGCTATGTTATGCCCTCAACATTTGTGGTATGTTATGCCCTCAACATTAGTGGAACATAATTTATTAACATTGTTTATATATTTCCAATGACCACACAGCAAACATTTGTGGTATGTTTTGTCCTCAACATTCGTGTAACATTAACTTGGTGTCTCAAGTAGCAGCCAGGCTCTTTAAACCAACCGCGAAATTTGGTTTCTTAACCTATTGCGCTAGGAGTTTTTGCAGCATTGCCCACAGGCGGTGCATTTTTTTATTATAAAAATTGTAAAGAGCGAACTTACCTGAAGAAAAAGTAAAGAAAGAAAAAGGGTTAACTCCTTTGGAAATTTAGCGAAGGCACCAGTCTTCAAACAATAGGGCGCCCTATTTTTGAAGACCGTTGGCTTCGCTGCATTTCCATAGCAGTTAAGCCTTTTTCTTTCTTTATTTTTTTCTCAGTTCGCTCTTTGCAATTTTTATAGAAAAAAATACACCACCTGTGGGCAACGGTGCACAAAATCCTAGCGCGACAGGTTAAGAAACCGAATTTTGTGGTCGATTTAAAGAGACTGGCCACTATTTGAGACACCCAATATATTGCCAATTGACCACTACTTTTCTACATGAGCTACGTTATAAAAAAATCAATTTACCCACAACAAGGACAGCTAAAAACGGACAAGCACATATACATAGCCGCAGTGTGCTAGCTTCGTTTCTATCTTTCCTCGTCTCGGGCAAATTAGTCGCAGACTAGCTCTCTCAGCGATTTCACCCCACCTTCGCCTGTGTGAAAGTCGTTCATCAAATAGCACTGCTGCTGAACCGCTCTAAGAAGTTATTCACTTCACTTGAGAAAACGTGAATACTCTTTTCTGTAATCTGCTTTCAATCATGTCGATCTATCCCAGTTTTATTTCGAGGTAATAGCTTTTATAAAAAGCTTCACTTTTTTTTAAACTTTTTTCAGCCAATCAAAATGTTTAACTTTCAGATGTTTGTCACTCCAATGTTCTTGCACAATAATTTTCTGAGCAGAGAAGTCACTAAAAAAGACATTTAGCCTAATTGTGAAGTAAACTTTGTGAGGGAAAAAAAAATCTTTCTTACGTGACAGAGAAATAAAGAACTTCTGATGATCTTAAAGGACAAACATTGATTTTAATTCCCAAAATAATTAGCACTTATAACCAACAAAGGCTAGACACATTTAGCTAATGAATGGGTATATTGAAGATAAAATGTTTGTCCCAAGTTGCCTTAATACCCAAGTTGACACCTTAGTAACTGTTGAGCACAGCACTTGTTGACAACATGTCGGTTACCAGAAATGTAGCCTGTAATATATATGCCTCACGGAACTCCAAAGCCAAATTTAGCAGCTATACTCCGTTTCACCTTCAGTTGAAGCGCAGCATACACTACGAGCCATCCCAGTCAATTTAGCGTCAAGTCTGATGCGACTTTGAGCTCTGCCTCCCGTTCCACACAACTGGAAAGTCATGTGATACTCTTCCGGCGCTGGATCAGCTGGGATGGCCCATACCGTTCACTATGCTTTAACTTAAAGTGAAACGGAGCATAGTGGAGACAGCACTGTAACTATTCAGACTCAATATTTCGAAATTAATTAGTGTTGATTTTCATTTCTTTTATATTAAACTTTCACAACCCACAAAAGTAAAAGGTTTCATGGATTACCAGTATCCCCAACCATTGGGCAATTGATTTGCATGATAACTTCTACAATGTTTTCTCCAATTGCAAGATTTTGAATTATTTTGGAGTGGATTATCTACTCTCTACAGCAGAAGACTGACTAATAGAACATGCATATCACAAGATGCATCCCCCCCCCCCCCCCCAGACAGTATAATTTCAGCAATATTTTCACTTTGTGACACAATTTAAAGCAGTCTTCCACTCTACTTTTCTCTCTCGCATCTGCTCGTGGCAAGCAGAGAAGGAAGCAGGGGTTGCTGGGAAAAGTATGCACATCCGTCTCCATCACTTCCTTCCAGCCAATAGGAAGTTACAAAAAGAAAGCTATCTCCTTGAAATAGCAACCACTTTTCAGGCAACCATGTAAAATCAGTCTTGCCAAAATGAGTCTTGCACCCTAAATAGTTATACTTTATTTTTTTTTTCAAGGAAAATGCATTTTATGACATGGGTGTCCTATCCAAGTCATTCTAACTTGTTCTAACTTTTTTAGTGGCCCTCTAAGAGGCACCTGTCACTGACCATAAAGTAGGACGCTTAGAGGAATCCAAAAGATTTGTTGAGATAGGGTTTATTTTCATAAATCTTCCAAGTTTTACATTGCACTCAGTAGAAGCTGTAAGCTCAGCCAACTTGATTAAAATAAACTGCGAGAAAACA